TTGTTACTGATCTTTTAAAAGCACCATCAAATTTGATTAAAAGAAAACCTCACTCACAATAGTTCATAAAATTTTACTGATCTATTTTTACTGCATCACAATTAGACCTGCAGAGAGGGAGAAATCTCACTGACTAAACAGGACATGAGTGGGCAGGATAGAGCATCCTTTATTACCTAGGTACTCATTAACTTTTTGATAACCACGTGAGATGAAATATGTCCAGCACCAGGTAGTACTGATGAGGAAGAAGGAGGAGTAGAGCAGACCAAAAAATATGGGAAAATATGCAGGGAAATTTCTGCTCACTAGGGCAGAGATCAGAATCAGAGAGCCCTCAGATTAACCACTCCTTCCTTGTCAGGAAATGTCTGAGAAATGTAAGGACAGACATAACTTACCCCTATTGGAGTGCTGACCCACCCTAAAAAAAGCAACTGACTGGTGCTAACAGTTGCTGACTTAGCTCAAGTGATGGTGCTTCTGTGCTGCAAAACCATAACCTACGTGTGCCACTGCCCCACGTGGGTACCAGCTGGATCTCTGTAGAAGAATTTAAGGTTGAAAAATCCCAACCATTCCAGAGTTCATAAATGTAAATATTCTCTTTGTCCACACAGCTTTAATTCAAGTTGATGTATGTAGGATAAAACAAGGTAGTAAAACAAGTGGTTTTATTTGAGTACGGTCAGGTACTTTCAGTAAAATCTTTCCAGTTGCAGGAAAGTGAACCATCACTTAAGGTTGAAAAATCCCAACCATTCCGGAGTTCATAAATGTCCACACAGCTTTAATTCAAGTTGATGTCTGTAGGATAAAACCAGGTAGTGGTTTTATTTGAGTATGGTCAGGTACTTTCAGTAAAATCTTTCCAGTTGCAGGAAAGTGAACCATCATAAATGAGGACAGCATTTTTACAAATTTAATGAAAATTTCTCTCTGAATAAAGGAGAAAAAAATTATTGATGAGACATGGACTTTCATATACTTATTGTGTGGATGGACAGATATTTTTGGAATGCATCTCCTGATGAGATATGAGGGTTCTTATTAATCCTGTCTGTCATTTTTATTGAAATACAGGTGGATTGGGTAGAGTATATAAAGATCTTTGATGGCAAATAGCACAAGAATCCCAAGGATGAAAGCAAGTCATACCTTCCCCTTTAAATGTGTTTTGATATAACATGTTCTGTCTTGGTAGGAACACTTTGCAGACACATATGCAGTACCCAGATCTACATCAAAAACATGTGCCTGGATTTTGCAGCTCCCTTGGGGCAGTTTGCCATCAGGCTGCAAAGGGAGTTATGCAAGCGAAGAGGACATGCTCAGCCCTGTATGGGACACAGAACTTGTACGTTTCCTGCCTGACCACTGGCAGGGAGATGTTGCTCTCTATCACTAAGCAGCTTAGCTAGGATTTTATACTGCTAAAATATTGCTCAATCTCTAGGGAATCTCCTTCTAAGCACTCCAAAAAATCCTATTATATCAACCATTTTTCCCAGGCGCTCTCTGTCAGCAGGGCTACAGTTCCTTCCCTTCTCTCTGTAGACAAACAATCTCTGTCCGTCCATCCCACCCCACCACAACGCCCTTTCAGAGTACTCCTGGATTTACATCTTCACTGCAGCTACAGCAAAGGACGGATGAGCAGAGAAAACCCCAAATGAGCCAGCAGAGCGATCTGGCAGCACTTTAGTCAAACCTAACGCTGGCCTTTGCAACAGGCCTTGTTGCACCAAGGGCGCAGCGATGCTCCTGCTCGTGGTGGTGGGGACCCCGACCAACCCTGCTCGCACTGGCCATGTACACATGCAGGTGGTGGCACTGGGTGGCCGTGCAGAGGGGACAAGGTGATGGGCTGGGCCTTCCCCTGTGCGCTCACCAAGCAGATCCCCACAACTAAGGCAGATGTTGGGGGCTCCAAGGCCATGGCAGAGAAGGGCAGCTCAGAGGGCAGCGGAGCTCGTGTTGGCAGCATCTCTGAAAGAGCTGGGGCAGGGGGATGGTGCGACCCAGCACGGACATTTGCCACTTTGGTTAGTGATTTCACTCTTCTGCTCAAATATGCAGAATATTTCATGTTCCACACAGAGGATTTCTACTAAAGCCCTCCATAAACCGACTTCACAAACTGCTACTGTAATCCTCCCAGACTGCAAGAGCCGAAGCTGGGAGGAAAGAGAGGGCAACACTACTTTTTATGGGTAGAACAAGAGATTCTTTTATTTCCAGATGTCTCACAGCCTTTTCAAATGTAAGGGAAGATGCTGTGACAGCAGATTTTATAACCCTTAGCTTCAGAATCGCACCAAAATTGTGTTTTATCTGAGATCAAAAGAATAAGCTGTTTTATCATCATGACGATGCTACAGATCTCTTATCTACTCGGATTAATAACAATGCAAATCAGGATGCTACAGAGCCCCAGAAAAACCACCATTCTGTTCTTAGGTTTCATTTGCAGCTTATTAGCTTCTAAACTATCAACTGTATGAAGGAAGAGAACCAATATGGTGTTTATGTTCTGGATTACAGCTTAATAAAAATGAAGGTATACAACTAATTAAGTTTGAACTCAAGATGATTTTGAAGTTTTATCTCATAAGACTCAAAATTATTTTGTTAATATTATTCTAAAAGCTCTACCATGAGACTAAAATCTTAATTGAAGTATTTATTTCTCATGAACATTAAAATGAAGTTGGAAGGGAGAGGGAAAAAATAAGCCATCTATTTTGCACATAATCCATTGTAGATTCTCAGCATTGCTGAAGCAAGGTTTTCACTACTAATAATTGGTTTTGGTGAACTTCATCTAACTAGATTTCAGCAAAACAATTGAGATGCTGCCATGCAGGGAATTATTAGAAAAGGGATCTGGCTGAAGCAGAGACAAAAGGAGCTGAAAGAAGAAGCATCAGAGTAGAAGGAGTTTATGACCAAGTCCCTCATTCCGTCATTCTTACTCTTAAGCAAATATACTTGCCAGCACCATCTGCACAAGAAGGAGCACATTAAGAACATTTGCTGATGACACAAGGCTGGGAGGCATCTTGGCCTCCCAGAATATCTTACGGAAGCGCGGAGGGGGCCAGGCGGGGAGAGAAACCACAAGATCAGGCGCTTAAAGGGGAAGAGTGTTTCCTGAATGGGCTCTGGCAGAGAGGAGATCCAGGGGGTCTGTTGTTACGATGAGGATGGTGTGAGGTCCTGACGTGGGTGCCTGCCCCAGCCCTCTGCTATCTGCAATAGCTACAATGCTGGGTCCAGCTAAGGCATTTAAGCTCACTTGGCATAGCCTTTATTTCAGGGAAAATACATGTCAAAGCTCTCCACACATCGGACGCCTTCCCGCTGGCCTGCACCGCTGTTCTTCCCCCACCTACACGTTCTGGGAAAGTCTTGCCTGCCCTTTCATTGCCCACAGGGCTCCCTTGGAAGCGCTGGCTGCGCGGGTGCTCCCACGCGGCTGGTGACATTTCAGCTGGGCAGCAGAGCCCCTTGCACGCCCCAAACACAAAGGCAGAATTCGCTGGGTTTAGGATTATGCCCAGCATGACATTTCCCTCCACCCCACGCCTTCTTTGCTGACTGCAGGTTTTCCAACACCATGCAGGGCAGAAAGCCCCCATCATTCCACCTCCCTAAAGGCAGTCTGAATCTGCTGGCTTTGGGGATGTCAGCAACCAGTATTTACAGAAGAAAGGCAGCTGGGCTTGCAGAGCCATCCTCAGGACCAAGACCTCGTGCCTGGAAAGTGTGTCAAATAAAAGTGTGACGCTCCCTTGCAGAAGCCATCGCAAAGGCAGCCATTGGGCTCCACTCCAAAGGAGTAAGCTCACAGCCAAGTCACAAGTTTTGTTGAAACATCCTGATTTCAAACATGATTTTATCAGGGAAATTTTGAGTCAAAACCAGAGCGAGTGCCACCTGTCTGACCACAACGATCAGAACAGCCAGGCACTATTTCCCTGTATGGGAGTTGACCAGGCTTGGCTGGAGACACTGTTTCTCCACCAAATCAGCATGAACAATGATTTCCAGAACAGAAATGAGTGAAAATCAGCAAATGTCACTTAATACATATCAAATATTTTCTTTATTCAAATGGAATGCTTTATATCGTGGCTATTTGCTTCGTGAAGTAATAAAAGCATCTAATTCTTGTATATCTCTACAGACCCGTAGTCACCTATTAAATAGAATTTATTGCCCCAAAATCAACCCTGACCACAAAATGTTTGTAAAAGAATACTGGTAGTGTCCCACTGAGCCACAATGATTTGATTATTGTTAGAAATCAAGCTCAAGATAAAGAACAGCACGACTCTCCTTCATGATCCAGCCAGTTCTCATTGAGTTCAACAGCAAGTTGTGAGGATACAAAAAGCCTCATGGATAATTTTGTCCTGGGAATAAGCACTGATGATGTTTGTTTGGGGTGTGCTGTTTCTATTCTAATTCAGTCACTTACCAAAACGAGGCCACATTACCTTAAGAGCAGACAGAAACCACATGCAACCTAAAGGTCACCATGTGACATAGAAAAGATCATCCTCCAGGTAAAGCAGGCAATTTAGATAGAAAAGATCAGGTCTTTAATTCTCTTCTCACATCTACAGTTTTCATGGGTAAACATGGTCAAGCCACAATCTAAACTTTCTGCATGCAGGTGCTTAAAACAGGCCTCAGATTTTGTGTCTAAGCCCTCATCTTAAGAGGCTTAATCTACTTCAGTTCATAACTTGTTCTTTTGTTCCTAGGGGAGCACGGAATGGAAGGGAACATTAGTATTTGCAATAGCATTGGCCATATGCATGTCCATATACATGCACATATACACAGCGACTAATAGCTACTTAAAACCTTCCTTTTGTGATACATCACATTGCTCCTCTGCCGCGCTGCTCTGTCCACCCTTCCTTTTCACTCCAGGAAAGCAGCAAAGTTTTTACGCCCCCATCGTACTTCATCCCTTCTTTGACAGCGTCGCTTCTCGAGGCCTTGCGCGCCGCGCTGGCACTCCACCAAGCCTGGCTAACAAACGGCAGATTAAGTGGCAACACGGACAAGAATTTCAAGCATGTATTATACTTGCCTGGAGTTCAGCGGGCAACTTCAAGAGGAGAGCAGCCCTCTAAGCAGGCAGGCCTGGGAATTCAGAATTGCAAAGCACTTACGGATGCAAGGAAAATACCTTTCCTCTGAGAAAGAGACTAGCTGATATTCTGCAGCCTTCAGTGAACTGTGTGTTCTGGAAGAGCTCACCACGTCCTGCATTTTCTTGATACCAGTGCTCCCATTTCCAGCGCTGTCCTCTGTAGCTATATCAGATTAACTAGGATTTATTTTATGTCAGCCTTTAAAAGACGCAGTAACAGAAGAAGATTATCCATTTACAACCAAAACAGCCTCTCTATATCCATCCTCTGCTCTGCATAAGATACAAGAGTAATAAGGCGCTTGATTACATTCTGCAGGTTATCAGAAGCCATGATAGGTTGGGCAACAAAATTTCCAGCCTGTAAAGAACCTATGTCCTACATGAATTGGATGAGGGCACAAGAAAGAGAAAGGGAAATAATAAATCTTCGCAAGTAAGCAACTGTGAAATACATTTGATAGCACAGCCCAAGTATAGTACAAATACAAGGATGTCTGCATTAGAATTCCATAACTTTTCTTTATTCACTGTGATACATTCAAACAAAAGTGCTCCAGATAACAGCCGTAAGAGTAAAGGAAATCTAAATAAAAAGGCAGAAGACCATCAAATACATACGGTGATTATTCATATTTCAAAGCATTAGTAACTGCTTGTATCCGAGTGCACCAAAAATCCACATGGAAACCCACATGGAAACGATGGAAACATGGGGCCATGTTTCTGTATGCTGCACCTATGGAAATAATAATCGTAGGCAGCTCTAGCAAGAATGGCCTTCAGAAGTAGAGTCGAAGCCATCTCAAAGATAAAGCACCATCAGGCATATGTTTACAAATGCCACAGTAATTAGTAGAGTGAAAGAAAGGCTTAATTGAACTAACGTTTTCCTCATCTAGCGCAGGGCAACTCTGCCTAGCCTCATTCCTCCCCAGCTCTGCCATTTCACACAAGGGGCTTGTGGTGGCCCCAAAACACCCCTGCCAAGTGCAACGTGGTGAGTTCAGGAGACAGGGAGACATGAAGGGAAAAGAAACTGGAGCCAGAGTCTATCCCCCTATCAAAAGGGTGCTGTCATGGCAGCATGTACTCAACCACGTTACTGCAGTACGGTGGCACCATCCACCTGAGAAACACCACGCAGACCATGCTGACTTCCCAATGCTGTTTGCTGAACTACAGGTACTTGGCTGGGCTGATTTTTATTTTTTTCTTGTTGTTGTTGATGTTCTTGTCTTTAAACTACAATTCTGCAGCAGCAAAATAAGTCACTCTTGTTGATAAGGGACAGCAGGACATCAATTCATCGCTAACTGGGATTACATCCTATAATCTGACTCTGTTCCAACTGCAGAATTACTGAACTGTGTGTATAACAAGAACCATCGGTGACTCCAAAATCACATTGGGGTGGAGGGCACCCTGCCCCAAACCCCACACACTCACACACACAGAGAGAAAGAGAGAGAGAAGTGAAGATGCTGTAAAAAATAGCTTTAAAAGAGGCACGATGGAGAGACATTCATCAATCTAGGGTTATTCTGCTATGTATTTGTGGGCAGGACAGCACAGATCTTCAAAAAAAAAGGAAAAATATCAGTAAAACATTTGTCCTCCTCTCCTCTTTACCTGCTTTGCAACCAGCAACGCAGATGGCCAGCAAGAGCAGACAGGCCTCCCTTCCAAAGAGTCTCAGTTGCTGGCAAGAGACTTTCCTTAAAAGACCACAGGTCACAACAGGAGACGAGCCCCTCTCCCCACGTGCTTTCCGTAACAGTATATTAACAGGGATCCTGCTAGCTGTAGGGCTGTGCCTCGGCTGCTGGAAAGGATTTAAGTCACTGCGTAATTTGTGTTTACCGAAGCAGATTGCAATGGCACTGTTCATAGGACCAACATCATCTTCACTGTTAAGACCTTGCAAGTTCAAGGTCTGTTTGCTCAAAAAGTATTTTTCTTAACTATGTTACTAATAAAGTCTCAAATCACACAGGCTGAGGGAAGTTTATAAATCTTTATGTAGGTATTTACCCTTCACGCTATCTGCGTGGCATTTGATCTCCCACAGTGCCTGCCTTGCCCTTTTCACACTCCCTTTCTCATGCAGGAACACAAGCTGTAATGTTTGGGTTGCAAACGCCATTAAATGTCCCTCTGCAGCCCCCAACAGCATAGAAATATTTTCTTTTAAAAGTTCAGATCAAAGCATTTCTACTAATCCTAGGATTTATTAAAACAAACATTGTAGGCATGAGATAGTCAACAGTGTCCCTTTTATAAGATTCTTTGGAGACGGCCCCGATTTTGTCCTGTTTACTGACCTGCCCCTAATTGATCTTCAGTTGCCCACCCGCAAAGCCAGCAAGTCTACCTGCCCCTTCCCCACCCAAGAAACCTTCCTCTGTCCCAAACAGTTTCTAGCTATAACGTCTGCACCACGCAACCACTGTCCTGAGAACAAGGTGGCTTGCAAGGCTACAGATCACATCCTGGTGTTGCAAAAGAAAATCACATCTCACACGTTTGCAGCAGAAGTCTAGCCTTTCCTCAGAGGAGTAATTAAAACCAGTCATTAAGTGCTTTCAAGGAGTTTAATTGTCTTTATCCCTCCCTGCAGTCAAGGTAGTTGCCTTTGATCCAGTAACAGATCTGTGCATATTTGAGGGGGGTGATGCGAACAGCTACATTGAAATCTTGTGGTGTGCCATTCATGTCCACCCACTGATGGCCAGAAAATATTCCAATAATTTTACGCTCCCACTTGTGATTCTGCCGCTTCCACATCCTCACATAGACCCCAGAGCCACTGGCACCTGGCTGCGCATCACACTGCTGGTACAGCAGGTCATATGTTTCGTCCTTGACGTCGCAGAATCGGTAAACCAGGTTTCCTGGCCGGTCGTTGTCGTAGCCAGAGAAGTGAATCCTCCCTCCAGGCAAGTGCCGTGCTGGTGGGCTCACTCCTATCTTCATAAACTTTCTTTTATGAGGCTTCTTGAGCTCCAGCAGGGCATAGTCATAATCCATGCCAATATCATTGGCATTTCCTTTGATCCATCCTTTGGGAACGTGTGTTCGTTTCACTCTGATCCACTGGAATTTCATTTTCTCAGGCATTGCCGAGCTGCTAATATTGGCCCCTTTGCTGCCGTCTTTCAGTTTGGGCCTCAAGAACCCGACCCGCAGTTTCTGAGCTCCTTTGACATAACTCTTGCCATCATGGATGCAATGAGCAGCAGTAAGAACATGTTTTTCAGCCACTAGCGTCCCCGTGCAACCTGTAGACAGCTTCACCGACGTGGAGAATGGGTAATTCAACAAGAAGTCCTTCCCAAAAATGCTAAACCTGCTGTCATACCCATAGATCTGCCTCTTAGTTCGAGATTTGCCTCGAGACCCCTCACCGCCGTTGTTCAGAATATAAATGCCCACTTCGGTTTCCGTGAGGCTACCATTAGCATACAAGGTTTCATAGGACAGATAGTCCTTCACTTCTTCGTAGGTGGGCAGCGGGGAACTTTTGTGGCACTCGGGGCCACAAGGAGATACCACTTCCAGTTTGGTCTCCGCGTCAAACCGTGGCTTGTCCAAGTTCAGGGTAGACTGCGGCAGGATGACTGGAACGCGGTAAGACGGCCAAGTTGGCTTCCAGTGGGGACTGGAGGGCAGCACCTCTTCAGCAGCACACAGGAGGAGGATGAACGTCGACAAGCCTGCCATTCTGAATGCCAGCCTGTGGAAAGCAAGAGAAAGTTCAGTCATTCATCCAAATACATCCAAGATTAGGCTGCGAGGTGATGGCTTGCTAACCAACCACAATTTTTAGTATTGCTTTAATGTTTCTTCCTCCTGAAATCGGAGACTGCAAAGTTTGTTGCCCATGGAAGGAGAAAAATGCATCAAAAATAAAAAAAACGCTGGTCCTTGGAGATGTGTGTGTTATCAGTCTGTTAGCAGGTTACATCAAGGTGTTGGTTTCTTGTTTTTAGGAGACGTTATTAACTTAAGTTGTATATTCAAGAGATCACAGGTTATATGGCACATTGCATCACGAAAACTGGCCCAACAAGTCCTATAATAAGCGTTAAGTAATTTAAATGGTCCCAGATATTGTAAATTCCTCAAACCCCTCATTATTAAACTAATGCCTTAATCTTCATCTTGAAACAAGTGCTGAAGATTAAGACTTGAAACACAGGATATTTAACCCTTAGTGTGAGAAGCACCAATTCCCTATCAACATAATGGGAAGTTAGAACAAATTTTCTTTGTATTATATAGAGAAAATACCATGTGTGCAAATTCCTGCATCAAGAAGCCATAACTCCTGCAAAGGATTAATGTCTAATGTCTAAATTAATTTTAGCTAGATTACAGCATTCCCTGGAAGCTCCCACTTACTCTCTGTCTCCATTGAGGAAGATCTTCAAAAAAAGGCCCTTAAATCACTTTACATGGTTTGCTGTCCTAGGCAGAGGCACCAAGCTGATGACAGGAACAGGCAGGTGGAAAAAGAAGGTAACCTAAACGTGAAAATGTTTCTAAAACATTACTGCATGGGCAACTCGCTTCCCCTTGCAGCTCACACCAGAGGAAGGTTTCTGTTCAAAGTGCCATTTGCTCTCCCCTAGGCTTGGGGGAAGAGTGATACGATTACACAAGAGCAGCTAATGAAGTAAGTTTACACTTCCTGAGGGAATTTTCAGTTAATATACTGATTTATTCCTTCATAAACGCAATTAATTAGAAATGCAAACCAACCCCCTCCGAGCACGGGGAGGCAAATGGGACTGTAAATGTGTTTATGAACCGCAGGCAGAGCGCCTCAGGCTGCAGAGAACAGCGTGCACTAGTGCTGTGTCAAGAAAATGTGTAACTTTAGTTTACTTGAAAATTAGCCATACAGCTGAATCGCTGCGGGAGGCATTGTGCTCTGGGCAAGAAGGCGGGCAGGATCTCCCTCATACAAAGATTATTCAAACAAAACTTCACAATTATGTTGAGCTTACGCATATTTAAACCCTGCTGAGGTTACATTGATCCCAACTGCAGGATCATTCCTGAAATACTTCAGACAAGGAAACCAAAGCAAATCACGCAGGAGCCGACCACAGCTATCTAAGAATGAAAAGAAAAATCCGTTTTGCAGGAATGTTTCATCCCTAAGCTGCACTGAAAAAGACTTCAGGAGCTGCAGCCTGCTAAAGCCCGAAGATGTCCAACGCAAATATTAGCCCTGGATTCTTTCGTAGTTGGTAGCATCATCCTTGGGAAAGGATGCTATAACTAAATCACACACAGCTCAATGTTCAAGATATCAACTGACTCACACGGGAAATCAAAACATTTTGAGTCCAAAAAAGCACATGCAGATGAACAGAGTTGATGCTACTTACGCCCACAGAGGCAGGTACCAACTTTTCCAGTTAATATTTTGATATTTTGATATCAGATGATATTTTTCATTATTACACAGGCTATGACCTATCACAAGAGCCTTTTTTTTTTTTTCTAGAAGGGCTAAACTCTATTGAATGTGTTATTTAATACCAAATGGGCAAGTCATACTGGAAAATACAGACCTTTTTAAACATGAATCAGACGTGCATAATCTTGGATGCCATAAAACTGGAAAAAAGTTGCTTATTCACTCAAGGAAAACTATTAGCCCCTGGCCCCTTCCTGGACAAGGGAATACTCAGAAAACTACGACACAGATTAATACTGGATGCTGGACAGGTTTTGCAAGCAATCAAATTAGATACTAGTTGGTATAAGGACGGCCCAAGAAACACTTGCTGTGCAAACAGTGATTAGGAAAGTATAGAAAGAGACGATAACAGGGATAAATGTTTCCACTCCGTCTTCACAAAGAAAATATACACTAGCATAAACCCACTGATAACTGTCCTAATTTGTGACAGCAGGGACTGTACATGGGAATGTTTACTGGTCTCACGGCTCAGAGCTGAGAAGAGACTAAATCATGGTTAGGCTGTGTATTGTGGAATATTAAGAGCGCGTATTTACGTGCACAATCTGCTTCCTTCCAGGTCACACCAAAATTATTCCAAAAACGAGAGCATCTTGTTGGACGCTATTGGCACAAACAGCCAGATTGCCCCGTGCCCGTCAGCGCAGCGACCCGAGGAAGGGCCTGAGCGTCCAGCAGCTTCTCTGCAGCCCTGGGAGCAGCGGCAGGGCTGACACGGGGTGACCCGTCCCTGCCACCTGCCTCCCCTCTCCTCCGCGCCCGCGCCCCGGCTGCGGCCGCCAGCGCTGGAAAGGCGGCTCCAGTCGGCAGAGGGCAGCCGCCCGGTGAGCAGGACAGGCAGGAGCCCCAGCTCAGGCTGCTCCCGGGAAAAGGCTTCGGAGGAGCAGATCGGATCGCTGCTGTGCGCTGGTTACCTCGCTGGACATCGCGGAGCACCCTCATCCCCGCATCTCCTGCGCCACGATCACATTGCTGATACAGGCGAGAAAAAATAAGTCTTTTCATCAGCCTCATAACTTCTCTGTTATCTCAGTTGCTATTAAAACCTAAGCACCATAAAAGACGATTGTGAGTTTATGTCTGACCAGAGATGCTAAACAGTGCTCACAGATGAGGGCATCTCCTGAAGTCTTCACAATTAATTATGTCTCCAGACGATACGTTACTATTGTCCCATTTGTAATGGATTAGCTCTGGGCTGCAGTAAACGGAACAGACGTATCTTACTTATTTAGAACAGGATGCCAAATGATTGCACGATATGTCTTTTGGTATAGAACTTTCCTCTTAAAAATAAATAAATAAATAAATAAATAAAAATGCTCTGCAGAAAAAAAAATGAAGGAATTCTAAAAAGTGACGTCTAAATTTAGAGAGACCTACCAGTTAACTCCTTCTTTCCCTTTTCAAGCAAAGAGAAAAAAAAGACAAAAACAAATTATCTATGTTAAAACACGTTGTTCACCTACTCACATGGGGGTGACCACGACAGCTGCCTGCAAGCAAAACAAGCCGGCAAGGAGCGAAGCGCTATCGGGATGCGATAGGGACTGAATCGCGACGCGCTGCCCCGCTGCAGCCCGGTCCCTCTTTCCCATTTAAACCGCGCCGTAAACTCAATCCACCCTTTGACTCCGCACAAAGCCCCGCTCTGACGCCCAGCGCAGGAACCCCCTCGAAAGCGGTTTGTACATAATCGCA